GAACTGATCCAAAAATCGTCCCCAGACTATCTTCGGGGGTGACTCTGCTTATTGTTCCTCCTGTAGAGGGACAGGCCCGACTGAACTCGGCCCACCGGGCCAGGAGCGACCTCCGGTGCGCGCCTCGAGGAGGGCGGCGCGAGGCGGCCCGATCCGGCCGGGCGCGCAGGCCGCCGCCGCCGCCTCGCGCCTCCCGGCGGTGCCCGGGGGGGACCCCCTGCGGGCCCGCACCGCGGGTCGCTCCGGCCAGAGGGCCGGAGAGCCCAGAGTCGAAGCGAGAGCTCGGAGCGGCGAAGGAGACGAGTCGGATCGGCAGAGGTGGGCAGCCAGGTCGGGAGAAGTCGCACCGCCAGAAGTCGGCAGGCCAGTAGGCCTCCGCTGAGGGATCGGCATCCAAATCAGACTCCGAAATCGAATCAAATCGGAATCGGAGGCCATCGTGATCGAATCGAATCGAATCGGAGGAATCGAAATGAGCCCTGAAAGGGCACTCTTACGTGTAGGTCGGGCGCGTCCTCCTACAAGCGGAGTTTGGAGTCGAAAAATCAACCAAAATGGTCAAAAATCTGCCGACCCTGTCGGCGTGTGTGAGGGGCTTGTCCGTTCAAGTCGTCATCTCCGTCATTCGTTGGTCGTCGTCTCTGTCGTCCTCTTTCCCTGCCTCCCCCCTTTCCCTGGGCTCGTCGAAGCTCCCCCCTTTCCCAGGGACCTCCTCAGCGCGCCAGCCAAAGCGAAGTTGAGCAACGTCGTAATTGAGTCGAAGGGAAGCCCCTTCCCTTCGATCCCTTCCCCGCCAGTGGGGGGGGTCTGGGGGGGGGGGGGACAGACGCCCCCCCTGGGAGTCCCGGAGCCCAAAAAAGCTCCAAGACGGGCCAAGAGTGCCCCGAGAGGCTCCAAAGACAGTCCAAGAGAACCCCGAATCGCCGAACGATCTGTCCAAGACGTCTTGACAGCCTCCAGACGGCCCAAGAGGCTTGCAAAGCGCCCCAAGAGGCCTCCAGGAGCTTTCCCACGAGAGCCCCAAGAGGCAAACTTCATGGATTTCCCATGCGTTTTTGAAAGAGTTTGGCGTTCTTGCCTCTTCCGCTTCCCCTGGCTGCCAGTCCCGACGCGCCAAGACAGCCCAAGAGGCCCTCAAGATCGCCCCGAGACGGCCCGGGGGACCCGAACGGACATTTCGAGCTCGCAGCCCCAAGAGGCCCCGAAGAAGCCCCAAGGCCCAAGAGGCCACAAGAGGCTCCCAAGGGGCCCCCAAACTGCCCCAAAACAGCCCAGGAGAGCCCCAAATTGCCCAGGAGGCCTCCAAGAGTGCCTCGAGACGGCGCAAGAGGAGGGCCAAAGACGGCCTCAAGAGAGCCCCGGGCTGTCCCAAGAAAGACTCTAGCCTCCTCCTCCTCCTCCTCCTCCTCCTCCTCCTCCTCCTCCTCCTCCTCCTCCTCCTCCCCCCTCTGCTCCCCCTCCTCCTGCTCTCCTCTGCCTCCCCTCCTTCTCCTCCTCTTGCTTCTCCTCCACATCCTTCTCCCCTCCTCCCTCATCCTCCTCCTCCACCCTTACTCCACCTCCCACTCATCCTCCTCCCCCTGCCCACCACCCTCGTTTTCAACTTCGTCGTTTTCAGGGTCGGCGGCACCGGCCGTAAGGCCTTCGCAATAGTCAAAAAAAACGTCCCCAGACTAGTTCTACAATTTGTTGATAAACCTCTTGTAGAGGGATATGTCCGAGTTGATCTTGCGTCCAGTCGACCAGGGCCCAACCCGCGAGGCCGCGGATGCGGATGCTGTGGGGGCCCGAAGTGGGTACGGAAAAAATGGGCACGCTTGCACATGAAAGTCAATGTTGTCCCAAGCCAACAGCGGTCGCTGCTGCTAGGGAGCCCACCAAGGGCGTACGCGCCCAACTATGTACATGAACATGGCCCCATGACCCGCGAGACCTGCCGCGTGATACGAACATTCGCGCAACACGAACTCTCGAAACCAGCGTGGATTCATGTACGTGTACGTCCTTCTTTCGCTCTCAAGCTGTGCAAGCGGCCCTCTGCCTCAAATGGACACGGACCGCGGGGGCGCGGACAGCGAGTCCGGTTCAAAATGAGCAGGAATTGCTGTTTAGCACTGTAACCATTGTTTCCGTACCCATTTCGTTCGTGCCGAGAGATGTCTTCCGCCCATAAGACATTCAGCCTACCTGTATCATACGGATGCGCGGTGAGGATGGAAGGGCCGTGGAAGGGCCACGTTGGCGTTTTTCGAAAGAGCTTGGCCAGCGGGAGTCGCTAATGATGGGCCAAGGGGGCAAGGATGCGAGGGTAGCCTTGGGAAGGTTGCCCATCCTTCCTATGCGGGTTGACGGTGCACAAGTCTACCGCGAGCTTCTAAGCTGGACGGCGCCCCCCGCGGCGCACGGCGCGCGCCTGCTCCGGCTCCTGACCCTGCACCTCCGCGCAGCTTGCCGACCTGAGGAGCGCCTCGCGGTGGCGGCTCTGGCGCCTCGCGCGGGCTTCGTCGCCGCCGCCGCCGCCACCGTCGCCGTCGCCGTCGCCGTCGCCGCCGTGGCCGTCGCCGACGCCGTCGCCGCCGCCGTCGTCATCGTCATCGCGCTCGTCGTCGTCCTCGTAGTGGTCATCGCCGCCGTCGTCGTCCTCGCAGTCGCCCTCGGCGGCGTCATCGCCGCCGTCGTTGTCGTCGCCGCCGTCGTCGTCGTCGTCGTCGTCGTCGTCGACGTCGGCCTCCCCTCCTTTTTCTCCCCATGCTCGCCCCCCTCGCCCGTGGCCTCGTCTCCTCTGCCCCCGCCCTCGTCCCCTCGCCCTCGCCCTCGTCCCCCCCCCCTCACCCTCGCCCTCGCCCTCGTCCGTCCCCTCGCCCTCACCCTCGCCCTCTATGTCCCTCCCCCCCTCTCCTCTCCCCTCCTGCTGTGGCGGTGGCGGGGGCCGGCCCCAGCCACGCCGCTCGCACCGGCCACGCCGCTCACATGCCGCCCTCGACGGTCGTCGTCGGGAGAGCAGGGGGAGTGCTGGGAAGCAACTCCCAGGAGGTGTTCGCAAGAGCAATGCCAGGGCTATGATGCCCGATGAAGAGGCCACGAGGCCGGATTTGCCCAGAGTGGGCCCCCAGAGTAAGCCCTGTGCAAGGCCGTGTCAGGCGGCCGCAAGCGGGACTGACCAGAAGCAGGCGGAATTGTGCCAGGCCAGGCCAGTTTTCGGCCACGGATGCACCAGCGCCGATGCCGAATCGAAGCTCCCAGGAGCTGCATCCTGGGACCTCGTCAGGAGCAGCAGGAGAAAGGAGCAGGAGCAGGAGGACGAGCAGGAGAAAACAGACGTGGGGGAGGCGGCTCGCCAGGCCCCGCGCGGGCCATGCCACGGGACGGGGGGGAACTGCCGAGCCGCCTGGGCTGCAGGTCGAGCGTGCACTCTTCACTCCAGCGGCTCTTTGACAAGGGATGTGTGCGCCGACAGGGACGACAATGACAACGACAACGGCGAAGACGCCGATGCCGGCGACCGCCGGCCGGCGACCGCAACCCGGGGACCCCAGAGGTCCCAGAAACTCATCTGGAAGTCACCGCACCCCGAGAACCCCGAGGTCGCTGACTTTCCCCCAAACGTATCGCGAGGCCTTCAAAGGTCCTTCGAGCCCTCCCGAGGCCTCCCGAGGTCAGAAAACCATCCGGCACGGCCCAACACCATCCTCGACCTGGATCCTCAAACCTCGCGGCGGAGACGTCGACGTCGACGACGTCGGCGGCGGCTACGACGACGACGACGACGACGGCGGCCACGGCGACGGCGACGGCGACGGCGACGGCGACGGCGACGACGGCGACGGCGAAGACGGCGACGACCACTGACAGGCGCCCAACTTAAGCAGGGACCAAACGTCCTGTCATTCCTATAGGCCTACCACGACATGTTCTAATAACACAAGTTCGAATTACCCCAGTGCGGCCCTACCTAGAAGTTGGAGCCCCTAGGAAATCAGCATTAGTTGCTATGCTATGCTATGCCATGCTATGCTGCGCTATCATACGCTATGATATGCTATCATATGCTATGCTATGATATGATATGATATGATATGATATGATATGATATGATATGATAAGCTGCGCTATGATATGATATGATATGGTATGGTGTGTTATGATATGATATGATATGTTAAGCTAGGCTATGCCAAACTGCGATGTGTTATGCTAAGTTATGAATATGCGATGATATGATATGATAAGCTGCGCCATGCTATGATATGCTATGCTATGGCTGGCATTGTTATGCTATGTTAAGCTATGCTAATGCAGCGCTGCGCTATAAGCTAAGCTATCCCTCTAGGCAGAGCCTAGGTAGGGAATTACACCCATTGAAGTTAAGCTAAGTTAAGATGAAATAAGCTAAGCTAAGATGAGATAAGCAACGCTAAGCTAAGGGGACGTAACTGGGGAAACCGCGGGGCGGATACTGGGGGAACCGCCCGGGGCGCTTTCCACTGCCCGGCCCCTTTAAGCCCAGAGAGTAAGAACCCTTCTAGGCAGAGCCTAGGTAGGGAACAACTAAGAACTCAAAACATAATGACAAGATGCTCTTGTTTGCCTCAGCCAGGAGTGTTCTAAGAACATGTCGTGCAAACCACATCAAAAACTATGACATTATTTAGTGGGCCTGTAACCAAGCTGACTAGTTGACCACCAGGGCCGCCGCAGCGGAGACATCCACGACGACAACGACGAAGATGACGACGGCAACGGCGACGGCCACAACGACGACGACGACGACGACGACAACGACGCCGACGCCGACGACGACGACGACAGCGGCCACGGCGACGGCCACGACGACGATGACGACGACGACGACGACGACGATGGTGACGGCGGCGACCACTGACGAGCGCCCAGCAGGGCCGCCGCTGGCGTCTTCGCCGAGGTCGCCGCCGGCCGTCGCAGCCGCCGCCGCCGCCGCCGCCGCCCCCGCGGGCGCCAACCGTCGCCGTCGCCGCCGTCGAAAGCGCGCCGCCAGACGGCGTCGCCGCCGTGGACCAGCCACACTTCGCTCGGGCGTGTCCTCCTACAGGCGGAGTTTGGACGACAAATCAAAAAAAGCCAAAAAATGTTCAAACATATTTAAAACCAACAAGAAATTGCGTCCCCATACTATTGTTTGACTGTTTTTGAATATTACATGCCCGACTTAAGACTACACTCAAGAGTGAACCTGGGTAAGCGTGGCCTATGGTGCGCGGATTTTTTGGGGGGGGCCGCAGGGGGCAAACTACAAACGCGCAAGACGCCACTCCCGCCTCGCGTTCGGCGATCGGGGGACCCCAGTGGGCCCGCAGCGAAGGTCACTCCGGCGAAGGGTCACTCTCACGTGTGGCCGACGGGACGGCGCCGTCCAGACACCCTGCGCCGCGATTCTCTCGACACACGCCTCTCGACCACTTCCCCAGGGCCGGCTCGTCGTCCCGCGCCGTTTCTTGACGGCCCCGAGGCCTGGCGAGGGCCCCGAGAGGCCGCAACCTACCCTGGGATCCGCCGCTGCGAAACAAATCGCAACAACGCTAAAAATACAGACCGCAGCCCCGGACCCCATCTCTCTGCATCACTTTTTGCGCTGGATCGATCTGTGAGGGTCCTGGATCGGGCGTTGGCAGAACTGGGCTTGGTGGGACCCCGTTTACTCTGACTCCGTCGTTAAACGTGGGTGGTTTAATTTTCACCAGTCGGGCTCTCGGGCCCCAACATAATGTTCGCCGGCTTTGAGACGCGTGCCTGCTTAATTTTCGCCGGTGCCTATGAACGCATGGGGCATGGACCGTTTCGTCATAGTTTGGTTCGTCTTTGGGCTCTTGAGCTCCTGAGAGCAGTCTTGGGGGTAGCACGGGCCCTCGTGAAGCCATCGTTGGCCGTCCTGGAAATCTCTTGGGCCTTCGTGGTTGTCTGAGATGTCTGTTTGGGCCGCCGCGGGGCCGGCGTGGGGCCCTTCAGGTTAGTCATCAGTATCGGTATCATCAGTATCAGCATCGCAATCGTATCCATCGTGATCATACCAAGTATAACAGCACAGCTACATAACATCACAATCATCATCAGTTTTATCAAACATCATCGCCATCAGCATCGCCATCATCATCATCATCATCATCGTCATCATCATCATCATCATCATCATCATCATCATCATTGTCATCATTGTCATCATCATCATTGTCATCCTTATCATCATCATCACCAGCAACATCATTGTCATCATCATCGTATCAGTACCATCGTCGTCATCATCATCATCACGTAACATCACATAGGTCATCATCAATATCGTAATCGTACCCATCGTACTAGCAACCAGCCGTGTTCAGCACAGGTATATCCGGGCGCCATCGTCACTAAGATCGCCTCATCTCGTTCACCATCGGCACGAGCATGATCACAATGATCATCACCATCCTCATCATCTACCACGGTCTCAAGATGCTGAATAAGTTTCGAATGCCCTTGGCCTGACAATTTGGCCCTCGGATGATTTTCGCCGGCGAGGCACCCCCCACGACGTTTCCCCCCCACGTGTAATAATGATGTGTACTGGGGGACGCCCCCCCTGCCCCGATCCACCAACCGGAACTGCCGTCACCCAAAAAAACAACAGCTACGGCAGAACTGGTGTAGTGATCCTGGCCCATTTAAAAGCTCCAGGGCCCTACTACTAACCTTAGGTCGGGCATGTCCCCCTACAGGCGGATTACGGATAGAAAAAATGCTTTAAGAATATTCACAAATATGCAAAAATGGTCGAAAATCGTCCCCAGACTATTTCTTGGCTATTTTTAAATATTCCTCCCGTAGAGGGAGAGGCCCGACTTAACCTTCCCTAGGCTCCTGGCTATACCCGACCGGGGCCCGTAATGGAGCGGAAACGCCCCTGGGGAAAAACATCCCCAGGCCAGGACCCCAGGATAGGGTTACGTCGGGCATGTGCCCCTACAGGCGGATGTTGGACGAGAGATGAACATACGTTTTAAGAAATACCCCAGAATGCTCCAAATTATTCAACACAAATCGTCCCCTGACTATGTGTGAACTATATTTGAACATTCCTCCTGTGGAGGGACGTGCCCGACTTAAAACATCGCCAGGCCAGGACCTCAGGGCAGGGAAGACCTCCGCCCCGCTGCCTTCGAGGCGCCGCGGCATGTGGGCCCTTTCGCCCGACCGGCGCCGCCCCCTCCTCTTTTTTGGGGGATCAACTCCCTTGCCTCCGATTACCACTGCGAGACACCAGCCAAACCTCATCGGATCACATGAGAGGGATAATATCGTCCAGGTCAATTGTGACACCTGACTTGTCTGGGTGGAAACCCTTCTTGAGCTTCCTGAAGTTTCTCCTGCCAGACTCAGTGGGGGGGCTTACAGACTCTACTGAGGCCCACAACTTGAGCACCGCTGGAATAAAATTTGCACCTGAGACATAGCCAGAGATACGACGAGTCGGAGCAGGGGAACGCCACA